TCTGAGTGGAGATACAATAGGACTTTATCAAAAGTCACAGTATTTTAAAATTTCTGATACCTTATAATCAGCAGATTTAAATGTCTCAGGATCTTCAGGGCTTTTGCACTATGATATGATACATAGAGCTATTATAGATAGGAAGAAAATGGGTGAGGGTTTCATACCGTCAGAGACAAGCCTGAATATGAGTGACTAACAAAATTTTGCTACATGAAATGAATGAGGTTCATAGTACTGAGAAACTTACAGATTCATGTGGTGAATAAGAAATTCAGAACAACTGAAGAACAGAACATGAGACCTAAGGGTCTTAAATATTTCTGAGAAACTTCAACACTAAAATCCATCTTTAAATGTCTCTAAAATATTTCACTGCATTCACAAAAGGATGGGTAACATATGTAACCTAATAGACAAAAATTAGGACCAGTGAAATTTGAGCCCAAAGACATCCTTAAACTCAATATCACTGATACTAACTTAGCTAGACCGCACAATGCAGATAAGATTTCCTTTAACCAGTCCTAAGCCCAACCACTCTTACCATTATGTATCTCAAATCTTGCATGTAAACACTGCATATACCCGAGTAGGTGACCTATGAGCAAATATACTTTTTTTCACATGAAGGACTAAATGAACATCCACAATTCCTAGAAGTTTGTATTCAAAATATGTATCACACACACACTGGCACACATATGAACGATTGACTAGGATGACGAAGGAAAAATGGTGATGGCATTGTGAAATTACCTTTTGAAAACAGAAACATTTCGAAATATAGGGGCATATAGATCAGGATCATCCTCCATAACTGATGGGGCATGCTCAACCTCTTTCTTTGCATACACAAGTGCCTCTTTTGGTGTCAAGGACCAAATGAATTTCTAAATACGTATGCTACAGTGTTAAGATCATTGGTAACATCTTTCTTTATCATAAACTCAATGAAAAAAGGAACAAGACTACCTGCATACGAGAAGGCACAGTTCTACGTGGAGGGGGAGAAGGAGGGACGACCTTTGACATGTTATCAACTTTCGAATCTTTTCTTCTCCTTCTAGATTTTCCCCTCGGAGGAACTAAGGCTGCAACTGGCATAATTGGCACTGAGAGATTCAAATCAATAGGAGGATTCGGTGAAACAATGGGGGCACCAGAAATTATTTGCAATCTTTTGACCCTTGCCTCAGTAGAGGTCTTATTCAAGCTGAGGCTACTGTTCAAGGGTTTATCTGATGGAATTGCGACCGGCAGAGAGAGGAACCACATATCCAGAGGATCATTAAGTATAAACATTTGCAACATGACACAGGATGCTGTCATGATGGCCCCCGCAAAAAATATCTTTTTCCAGTCAATTTTATACCCGCCAAAGAGCCGGATAAATTCTTTCATTAGGATCACAGCAAGGCTCTCACATAAAGTTTTCATCTCATCATACTACAAGATTTCCACCTTGCCAACATATAAAAAAGTGAATAGAGAAGGTCCCAGCAACCATGAGCTTATTAATCTACAATTCTCCTAAATGAGAGTCCAGGTCCAGAAATCTCAGCTTTCGTAACAAGGTCTGCCCAAATTTTCAAACTACCTACGTGTTTGATAATGTCCAAGTCTTATCCCTCTCTCTGAAAGGTGTGAACTCCACAAAATTTGGTAAATCAGCTTCCTAGTAAAGAATCAAAAAATGAGAGAGAGAGATTACAGAACTAGTCAAAATGACTGTCATCATGCTTTTGCAGTGATCAAAGACAAAATTATGGGAAACCATAGATAGTTCTACCAGAAGCCAGAACACAACATAAATACCAAGTGATAATGAAACTAACTTTTACTTAAATTATAAAGCGGAGAGAAACTAAAAAAATAATTCTTCGAAGTTTATGTTACAAGCTCCTAGCTCGTGCTTTTCCAAAACCATAGCATGCATTGTCAGACTGAAACTGCTTAGAATTTTTCATCAAATTCCAGTAAAAAAACAACTTGAATTCACAGCAATCAGATTACATCATGTTGAAAATCTTGCTAACTATCACAATCCAATAGTCTGGAGAAAACCCAATATGCTAAATTCAATTCTGCACAGTTTAAGAACAGAAAAAAGAAAAAAAGAAAAAAAAAGGAGCAACACTGTTCTTCATCTAATTCAAATAAAAAACAATTGTTTTAGCAGGAGAAACGAAAAGAATTATATTAATATGTTATAGACCATAAAAATATTAACTTTTTCGATCATTTTAGTTGTTTTTGGCTAGTTGCATTAAAAAGGGGTCCCTGACTGAAAAAATTTCTCTTTTTTTCTTCTGGGTATTAAAGGAAATTCGAGTTCCAGAATTAGAAAAGCAATAGATGAACACAGGACCGATAAGTAGAACAACATATAATGTTATGTATGTGGGTAGAAATCATACCTTGATCCAGTGAGCTAGAGCAGAGTCAGCTGAGCTAAAATGGGAACGAATCGAATTCGAAGAAGCTGATGGATCTAAGACACAGAAGAGAGAGAGAGAGCGAGAGGGAGATTAGGGAGGGAAACAGAGAGAGAGAGCTAGCGAGACAGACGGTAACAGTTCTCGACTTTTGGTAATAAAAATAGACCTTTTGAATATTTTGACCAGTCAATCCGTCAAGTTCAACTGCTCAAACGACTACTATAAATAAATAAATAAAACAATTAAATAAGAGGAGGGACTAGTTAGCGACAGTTTAGCATTGCTAAACTTTTTGGCTTTAAGCTGTCAATTGTGTGTCAACCAAGTTAAGAATTAATTATTTGGAAAAAAAAAAAGTTAAGAATTAATTAAATAAAAGTCTTTAGACCAAAATAAATAAATAAAAATCATATTCATGTCATCATTTCCTTCTTTTTTTACTAAAAAAAAATATTTATATGACTCTATTTATAGCTAATCATGGCATGCTACGCGTGATAACTTTTTCACATGGCAATATGTGATTGGTCGAGGATAACAAAACAATGTTATCCCCGTTTTATACAAATTTTTCTGTTTTTTGGTTGGGTCAATGTTATTTGATGATATAATTGTATGAAATCCTTGAAAATGTGCGCTTAAAATAGGCACCAAAAGAATAAGTACATGAAAGGCTATAATTGTATGAAATCCTTGAAAATGTGCGCTTAAAATAGGCACCAAAAGAATAAGTACATGAAAGGCTAGCTTTGCTATGGTAGAGTGCATTTTAAGTTCAACTCAAAACTTGTATGCATGGCATGGAAGGTGTCCCGAGTTGGGAGAGGAACTTGTTCTAGTGTTTGGTGATGGACGAGTGAAGTTCTATTTGCGGGACGTTTTAACGAGGCTGCATATTTTCATGTGGATATTGTTATTTGATTTATAAGGTTGATGAAATTTCGTTCACAACAAAAAATAATTTATTTATTTTTACTTTAATTTAATCGGTTGACTTCAAAAGATTACCCATTATACATTTTCTTTGACCGGTTTCTTTCTATATAAATTGTACATTCTTATTGGGCATATAATTAGAGAGGTAGTACATTCTTGTTCGAAAATATATAGTCAACGATGTGTTCTTTCAATTTTGGTTGTCACCAAGAAATTGAAAAGGTAAATGCAACTGTCGCTTGAATTTCAAAAGAGACAATATCTTCATAAATTGAGATCCTAAAATTATTGAAAATTGAAACAAACAGAATAACTTACAAAAGGGCATATTATAGGAAGTAGGAAAAAGGAAAATTTTAAAATAAATTTTTTAAAAGGGGGAAAATCTGACGTTAAGCTTGCTTGCATGAAGGTTGTGTTGTCTCAAGGTGACATATCAGGTGGAGATGCTCTTCGCAATACTCTCAGTCATAAGTCTTCTTCTTGTTTTGGTTATACGTGAGCCTAATTAATTCATATAAAATAATTAATAAAAAGAATAATTTATTGTCGTCTTTGGATGTGCATCCAAGGTTGAAAAATAAAAAATCCAAGAAAAAAAATATCCTTCAACCAATCAAGTATAATATGAATCAAATTTAGTCAATCCAAAAGAGAGAGAGAGGAATAATAGGCATTGCTTATTTCATGCGAAAAAAAGAAAGAAAAAAGAGAGAATATTAATGTCCTTTTAATTTAGGCTTTTTATCACAAAACATCCCTGACGTTTACGAAACTATCAGATTGCATCCTTAAAGTTTTTTTGTATCACTTATGGTCCCTAACGTTAATATGGGTGCTCTTAAATGGTCCCTCCGTCAAAAAAATCGTTAAATCTCCAATTTTATGAGGGGTATAATCGTCAGATCAACTCACTTTTACTTTGACCCAAAAAAAAACTCACTTTTACCTCTCACAATTCAAATATATTTCCTCTAGGTCGTCGTCAACATCATCAGACCCATTTCTATGCTTTTTCTTTGAAATAAGGTTTTTCAGTCGTGGGAAATTGGGCGGTAAAGCTCATCTGCAAAAGTGATTGAGAGAAGATGGATGAGGCAAATGAAAACTATCGAAAAGGGGGAAAGGCTCCAACGTATAAAGGTAAGAATCTTTTGAAGAGTGAAAAAGCAAAGTGTTCATATTTGACTATTTGCTTCTGATGAGAATTTTTATGCTTTAACCTGTGGCTTTATGCTTTGGGTGTGGTCCATATTTGACTAGTTTGTGTCATATTCAAACATGGGGGTTTGTTTATTGTTTTGTTGCTTTGGGTCTTTGGCTGTTGTCAGTGTGTGGTTTTGGTTTGTCATATATATTTTTTTTTTTTTGAAAAATAGGAGGAAAAGAAATGTTCCAAACTTCAGACAATGGAGGAGAGAAGCTATGCTAAAAAATCCAACCTTTGATATTGGGATGCACTTTGCCAACAAAACAGTATTTAAAGAGGCTGTGCAACACTATACTTGCATGGTAGGGAAGAACATATGGTTTAAAAAGGATGACAAACAAAGAGTAAGGGCTGCATGTGAGGTGGGCTGCCCTTTTGTGATATTTGCTTCGAGAATTGATGACTCACCAACAATGGTCATCAAAACCTTGAATTTGGAGCACGAGTGTTCAAGGGATCAGAGAAATTATTGGCTGAATTCTACTTTTTTTGCTCAAAGGTATGCAAATGAGTTAAGGGCTGATCCGGATTGGTCAGTTCCTGGATTTACAGCTGCAATTCAGAGAGATTTTGGCTTGGAGCCGAGTATGCAACAAATATATAGAGCTAAGCTGAAGGCAACGAAGTTAAACAAAGGTAGTTTTGTTGAGCAATTCCACAAGCTGCACGATTACTGTGAGGAATTGAAGAGGGCAAATCCAAGAAGCACAGTTTTGCTTAAAACTGAGTTGGATGGTGATCAAAGAAGGTTTCATAGGCTGTATATTTGTTTGGAAGCATGCAAGACTGGATTTTTGCAAGGTTGTAGGCCTGTAATTGGTATGGATGGGTGTTTCATTAAGGGACCACATCCTGGTCAGTTATTGGCAGCAGTAGGGATTGATGGGAACAATGGAATGTTCCCGCTAGCTTATGCTGTTGTAGAGATAGAGAATAAAGAGACATGGGACTGGTTCATAAGAAATCTGATGGCGGACTTAGCCATTGAAAATGGACATGGTTATGCTTTCATTTCAGATAAACAAAAGGGTTTAGGACTTGCCCTTGGTGATTTACTTCCCAATGCAGAACATAGGCATTGTGTCCGTCATTTTTACAACAATTTCAAGACTTCACATAGTGGCCTGACATTGAAACAACTTATGTGGGATGCAGCTAGGGCAACAACAATCCCTTGGTGGCAATGCCATATGGAGAGGATGAAGCAAGAGAGTGAAGTTGCTTGGAAGTGGTTGCACCCAAAATCTGCAGTTCATTGGAGTAGATCACACTTTAGAACCCAGTATAAGTGTGATATTTTGCTGAATAATCTTTGTGAGGCTTTCAATTCTTCAATATTAAAGGCAAGGGACAAGCCAATTCTTTCAATGCTTGAGGGTATAAGGACAAATCTCATGGTGAGGATGGCAAACAGGAGGGTTGCAGCTTGGAAGTGGAAAAGGCATGTTGGTCCAAGGATTGAACAAATTATGGAGAAGAACAAGCTGGAGGCTGGTTATTGTATTCCTACTTTGTCTGGGGATATGAAGTATCAAGTCACAAATATGCATGGGGGGCAATTTGCAGTGGATCTTGCAATAAAAACATGCTCATGTAGGAGATGGGATCTTTGTGGGCTCCCATGTCCACATGCAATCAGTTGCATTCTTAGAAGGAAGCATGACCCTTACTCATATGTAGATGAGTGCTACAAAAGGGAAGCTTATCTTAAGTGCTATAACCCTATTATTTCTCCAGTGCCTAGCATGGATCAGTGGCTAAGCACTGGTCCTCACCCATTGTTGCCTCCTCTATTTAAGAAGCAAACTGGGAGGCCAAGAAAGAAAAGGGCTAGGGAGCAGGGTGATCCACCAGCTGCAACCAAAGGAAACAAACTATCTAAGTGGGTTCATGACAAATTTAGTTGCAGCAAATGTGGCCAAGCTGGCCATAATAAGAAAACATGTGGCAAATCAACAAGTCAACAGGTATATTATATTCTTACTTCAAGGAATTATATTATTCATTTGCTTATTGATTAATTACTAAAATTCTTCATATGCTTTGCAGCCTCCAAGTGCCCAAGTGGTCCCTAAACCTAGACAAAGGAAACCAAAACTTAAGGTTTTACAAAATCGTTGTATTGTGATTAAAATAGTTCTAATTATTGTATTATAGTTTGACTTTAATTGTTGTCTAGGTGGCAAGAGGAGGGAGGAAAATACAGCAATCAAGGTCAAACTCTAATGCTCCAACGGGAACAAGTATTTCACAACCTTCTCTAGCAGTTGTCAGGTTTTCACAACCCTCTCCAGCACCTCAAGTGGCATCACAACCTCCTACTGCACACAATTCTTCATCCCAGCAAGCCTCAACATCACAAACTGTCCAAAGAAGGAAATTAAAGTCTCCAGCAAAGAAAGGAAGGCCATGGAGAGTTTGAGATGATGTTTTATGGAACTGTAATTGGAAGTGGTCTAAGGTTTTTGATGTATGATATTGTTTTTTGATGGAAGCTTTCTAGGGGTTAAAGTGATGGAACTGAAAGTGGTTTTTGATGGAAGTGGTCTAGGATTTTTGTATGTATGGAAGTGAAATCCTACTTTCTGACCCAAAAAAAAAGGAAGTGATTTTTGATGGAAGTCATGTAGGGGTTAATGTGATGGAACTGAATGTGGTTGATGATGTAATTGAAAGTAGTTTTTTATGTATGGAAGTGGTTTTTGATGTATGCAGTTGGTTCAATTTGTTCATAGTGGTTGGTAGTTTAGTTTATTCAATTTGTTCAACGTGAGTTGTTTATAGTCCAATTTGTTTTTGTTATTCCCTTTCATTTTTAGCGCTTTTAGCATGTGAAAATGAACAGCAGCTTTAGTTGCCCGCCAATTCCAATAAGAAATGGAGGGAAATGGTTCCAAATTGGTGGCAAATAGGTCTAAGGCATTGAAGAGGTCAAAGGGATTGATTTGACGATTATATCCCTCATAAAATAGGGATTTAACAGATTTTTTGACGGAGGGACTATTTAAGAGCACCCATATTAACGTTAGGGACCATTTGTGATACAAAAAAACCTTAAGGATGCAATCTGATAGTTTCGCAAACGTCAGGGACGTTTTGTGATAAAAAGCCTTTAATTTATCCAATGAATAAGGCTTTTATTTATTATTATTATTATTTGCTACAGGTCTAGCAAGGCAACAGGCATACACAAAAATATATTTCCATTGGAGTGGGGGCTCTTCCGTCGCAAATTGACACACTGTCAGGCTCAGCCTCCGAACATCTTAAACTGCATTCATCTTCCTTTCCTGGCAGGGGTGGCCCTCTTGGCTCGTGGCAATATGAACCATATATAATCTTTCTGCAGCTGGGATCAGCCGACGTCACCCCTTCAAAAACAAAACAATCAATTTTACAAAATTACAATGACATTCTCGACGTTTTTATTTATTTGTTATTTTTAGCACTAGTGATTGGGAGGGGGGTTTACACAAATATTTATTGGGTGTCTCGGGATTTCAAATCTCCGTCCACATAGATGGAAATGGAAGAGTTCAACCAACTGAGCTATACTCAATTGGCATCCACATTCATATTTATCAAACAAGACATTGTGACGCATCTGCCACATTATTTAGAGACTAAGATTTGGGTCCACTCGAAATCTCATTCATGCTTACCGTTTGAGTTATTTTCTTTGACAATCGCTTTCGTGAACATAGCTGACGAAAAAACAAAATCTTGAGTTAGTTATGCCAGTTGATATACGTAGAGATTTACAATGAGACGTTGAAAGTGTGTACATATATATATATATATATACCTGAACCAAGAAGAACAAGGATGATCAAAAAGTTGAGTTGCGGCAGCACCTTCGCCATCTTCACCTTACAACTAGTACTTTGGCAAAAACCGAAGAAAAAAAAACCTTGACAGAGATAGCTTTAGACTCGTGATTGTTGTTCTGGTGGTGAGGTTGAAATGAATTTATAGAGTTGAAATATGAATTGATCACATAATTACTTGCAAGAATCAATATTTACATAACAAATCGTGGTAATTAATTTTCAAAATGCTAAGATCATGTCTAACTAGATTTTTTTTCTTATGCGCCAAATGTATAATTAGATTTCTTGTATATAAAAAAACAATGTGACAAATCAGATTTACTAATTTCCATTTACTATATGATCTTACAGCAATATTTGCCGATATCATTAGTTTGTTCAGTAAACAATCCCATTATTCATGGCCAAAAATAAGCAATGTAGAGATTTCAAGAATAATAGGCATTGCCATGATTTGCATTTTTGCCTATTTATGGTCAAAATATGTAATCCAGAATTTCAAGAATAATAGGCATTGCCATGATTTGCAATTTTGCCTATTTATGGTCAAAATACGTAATCTAGAAATTTCAAGAAAGTTTTTTTTTGGTCAACCATGAATTAAATTCCAAGTCAAAAGGCAACCGCAAGGAAATACATAGAAAGCAGTTTCTGAGACAAACTACAGAAGCACCTTCATCTGAATCGCTACAATCCAGCAAAAGAAGGAAAACTCCTACTCTAAAAACTAAAATCAAGGAGGACCTGGAAGACCATCAGACACCAAAACATGTATGAGAGACAGCCACTGGCGGACCCAGAAATTTTTTAGCGAATGTGCAATATTGACTAAGTATGAAAAATAGTTTTTCGGAATAATCATTTTCTCAAGATAATTTTTGGCGGCTTTTGTTCCTTACACATCAAATAAGAAAACTTGATTTTATGGGATTTTAGTATGAAGTATATATTGACTTAATGAGCCATCATTTTTAGCCTAAATCGTATTTTGCACTAAAATCGAATTTTCATATTTTGATTTGGTGGGAATTTGATTTTCTAGTATTTTTATTTGAATCCAAATGGGGGGTACTTCCTTATTTACATTGTAAATTTAAGTAAATTGAGTAATATAAAAATAAATATAAGTAAAAGGACAAAGACATTTACTTAAATGTTGAAGATGGAAATAAGGTAATCTGTACACCAGTTGAGCTAATGGGCAATTTCAAGCACCTACAATGGTTTTTCCGGTGAGGGGAGGTGCACTGCACCTCCTTGCCCCTTAGTAGGTCCGCCTCTGGAGACAGCGGTGGTTGAGTAACCCAGCTTTCCAGCTCCATTGCTCGGCAACCTATCGCTGCAGCCTTATGAGCTGCTCAATTTGAACTCCTCTGAACCCAACGCCAGAAGACACTTTTGAACTGATTAGCTCTGCGCCAGATAACCTCAATAGAAGGCCTGATAGTCCATGCATTGTTCCTTATATCCCCTTGATCCCGTCCACAAGGGTCTTTGAGTCAGATTCCACGTAGACATCACTAATATAGCCAAGATTGGCCACAAACTCCAACCCCATGACTGCTGCTTCTGCCTCCACCTCAAGAGCAGAGTGACCCACCCGTGATGCAGCCAAGCCGCCTAGAAACTCCCCAGTTGAATTTCGAATTACCACTCCAACACCAGCTTCTCTACCATTGCTTTGCCAACTCCCATCAATATTTACTTTAACGAAACCCATTAGCGACGGCTCCCACGAGCAGACCTCACCATTTAAAGGGGAATGGCTCGTCACACTATTTGCATTACCTCGCCACACTTTTTGAAATTCCACCTTTGCCTTACCTGCATTTTCCACCACTTTGCATGGATCAATTCTATAACCTTCCATGATAGCTTTACATCTGGTCTTCCATATTTCCCAAAGAAAGAAGCTTAGCATAGTAAGCAAATCATGCTTTTCCATTTTTGATTCAGTTCTCAAGTCCAGAATATTATTCAACCAAACATCTAGAGTGCTAAAGCTTTGAGTATCAATTCTTAATGTCATTGGAGATCCAAACCACACAGCTTGAGCCTAGGGGCAGAGAAATAGTGCTTGTTCAATGGATTCTTCGTATTGATCACAGAGGCCACACATAGGAGAGGCAGAAATTTTCCTCCTGAATAAATTAAGCCGCGTTGGAATAGCATTGGACATGCATCTCCATAAGAATATGCGTATCTTAGGCAGGGTGCAAACACTCCAAACAGCTTTCCATATTCGATTTGAGATGAAATGAGAAGAATGCGAACTCCCAGATGCTAGGTAACGATGAGCGGACTGCAAACAATGATATCCTGATTTTACTGAATATAGACCGTTCGAAGTCCAGGGCCAGACAAGCTTGTCCCGCTAACTCGAAGGACCGATGGGGATGGCAAGAATCTGCTTTTGAGTTTCCTAGCTCATATAACTACCCACCCTGTCCAAACTCCAAGTTCGATTATGCAGATTGATAATATCTGAAACCATTTGTGGAGCATCATGAGGGACATGAGTGATTGGTGTAATAATGCCATTATCAGGAATCCAATTGTCACCCCAAATATTTGTATCTGCACCATTCATGATCTGAACTCTGGCCCTGCCCATTAAAGCATCTCTTCCTTCTAGAATACTTGTCCAGATCCAAGATGGTCTGTGACCCAAAATAGCATCCTTAAACTCACAATCAAGATAGTACCTTGCTTTCAGAATTCGAACCCATAAGGCATTAGGATTAGAGATTATTCTCCAACTCTGTTTGGCAAGTAGTGCCAGATTAAATTCCTCAAGGTCTCTAAAGCCAAGACCTCCATCTCCTTTCGCCAAACACAAAGCCTTCCAAGATTTCCAGTGTATGCCGTTGCCGCCTTCTAATTTTCCCCACCAGAATTTCGCAATATCGCTACTGATCTCATTGCACACCACCTTGGGGAATTTAAAACAAAGCATAGGATAAGCTGGGACAGCGGTGGCAATGGCCTTGATCAAAACTTCCTTTCCCGCCATTGATAATGTGCTTTGTTTCCACCCCATTATCTTCTTCGCCACACGCTCGGGGATATAGGCTAACGCAACTTTCTTGGTCCGACCCCAAGTCATTGGAATGCCCAAATAAGTACTTTAGTTATCAATCCCTCTAATACCCATAATCGAGCTTATATTCGCCTTGACATCCTTAAGAGTGTTAGCACTAAACATAAGACTAGATTTCTCATAATTAATTAACTGACCAGATGTGAGACAGTAATCATCTAATAGAGCCTTTAATCTAAAGCAATTTTCTTCCTCAGCCTTAACAAAAAATAGTGAATCATCTGCAAAGAAGAGATGAGACAGAATTGGAGCTCTCCTGGATACTTGGATACCTTTAATGACACCATCTTGCACTAGCTTGGTCTGATTACTTGAAAGCGCTTCGCACACCAAAAGGAAGAGGTAGGGCGATAGGGGATCACCTTGTCTTAACCCTCTGGATGGCAAGAAGGACGAACTAGGTTGGCCATTCACCAAGACAGAGAAAGAGACGGTTCTAATACACAACATAACCAATCTGATCCATTCTGTTTGGAAACCAAGCTTTTGTAATAGAACTTCAAGAAAGTCCCACTCCACCCTATCATAAGCCTTGTTCATGTCAATTTTAATTCCCACTTCATACTTGTGACCCGCTCTCTTAAGCTTAAGATAGTGAAAGGCTGCATGAGCTATAATCACGTTATCATGAATCTGACGATTTGCCAAGAAGGCATTTTGGGAATCAGAAACAAGGTGAGGCATGAGAGACTTTAATCGGTTGGCAAGTAGCTTGGACAAAATCTTGTACGAAGTGTTGCATAGACTGATTGGTCTGAATTGTGAGGTGGACTCAGAAGCAAGCACCTTAGGAATCAACGCAATGAAAGTTTTGTTCATATCACGAATATGGGAATGCCCTGTATAAAACTCCTTAGCTGATCTAGAAACAATATCTTGCACAGAAAGCCAATACTTCTGGTAGAACAGAGCAGGAAAGCCATCTAGGCCAGGTGCCTTAGGGGACCCAAGTTGGAAAATTGCATCTTTCACTTCCTCTAGGCTAAAGGGACACATCAGCTCACCATTCATATTGTTATTAACCAATTGAGGGATATGGTCCAAGATACCATTCCAATTTTGGGGGCCACTGGACTTAAACAAGTTCACAAAATAATTTTGAAACTCATTTTGTATCATTTTGTCACCTGCTATCCATACTCCAGCCTCATTCTTAATCTTCCAAATACTGTTCCTTTGCCTCCTCTAAATAGTAGTCAACTCACCCTTGATCTTTGATTCCAGTAAAGCTCTTCATTATTCCATAATTGCTCCAACTCCGACATTAGTCTGTTTTGCTCCTTCAAAAAGGTCCCCATATCCTGATTAGCTAGCCTCAAATTAAGCTCCTTTAACACCTCTGCAATTTTCACTTTGTTATTGGGGTGTCGATTTTGACTTCATTTAACTAAAGCATTCCTGCACTCCTTGAGATTAATAAGCCATTGTCTGGTACCAGAAGCTCCCATCATAGCCTTCCACCCTTCGTCAACTACCCTCCGGCAATCAGCATCTTCGACCCATTGAGTTTCGAAATGGAAAAGCTTTCTTCCTTTAAGCATAGTGGGATTGTTATCAAACGAAATAGGGCAATGGTTAGAGGCTATCCTTGGGCAATGGGAAACATTCGAACTAGGCCAAGCCTCTACCCAACAAATATTGCAAAGCCCTATGTCTAATTTTTCACGAACTGCAATCTCCCCACCAATATGTCTCTCCCAAGTAAAGGGCTGACCAATAAACCCCAAATCTACTAAATTCAACTTGTTCACAAAATCCACAAGGTAATGTTTTCGTCTCGGATTCCAACCCGATCCACCTTCTTTCTCAGATTGCCAACAAATTTCGTTGAAATCCCCCACAATACTCCATGGCATATTATCCACTTGGTCCCATTGGAGCATAGCATCCCAAAATTGATATTTCTCTTCACTGTAAGGCGTTCCATAAAACCAGGTGCACTTGCAATGAATTTTCTCATTATCTATCTTCACCGTAGCATCAATCCAAGAACGGGAGGTGTCATTAATTTGAACATCCACGCCCGTCTTCCACCAAACACTCAATCCTCCAGCAAGACCAATTGGATCCACAGTCACTCCGTTATGGTAACCACACTGTCTACGTAGCTAAACATTCCGGTGATGGTTTTGCTTAGTTTCCATTAAAAACACCACCGTGGGATTTTTGGAACGTATCAGTTCCTTCAAATACAGAACTGTCAAGGGGTTCCCCAACCCTTGACAGTTCTAAGCAAGTTGTATCATGATTCCTTTGTGGCTGATTTGGGCCAGCCACCACAACCCTAGAGGGGGACAGTATCCTCCACACCCTTAGCCTTACGCTTTCTTTCCATCTCTTCCAGTTCTTTAGAAGGACTGATAACTACATCACAAAGGTTGTTATCTATCTTGCTCCAAAGTTCTGATTCCACTCTTTGTATAGCAGCACTTCTATTGACCCGACCACCTCTTTGCCTACCTCTATGCCCTCTTCCCTCTCTAGATTCCAGGCTTTTTTCCTCTGATTTTCCTGGAAAAATGAACGCCGATGCTCTAGAGACTGGAGCAGCTCTCAACCAATCTCCGTGTTGCAAGTTTTCTGCTATAAGTCTTGGGTCAGGAGCTATTTGACATCCCCTTGAATGGCCCAGCTTAACACATGAGTAACAGAAGTCCCTTAGACCCTCATATCGCAGTCTAATGAGACGCTTCCCTTTAACCAAGCATGACATAGTAAATCCGGGAGACAGAGGTTTAGATGCATCAAGGTACACTCTTATTATCATGAACCCTCTAAATCCAGCCATATCAATGTCTTCAACTTCCATAACTGTTCCGACTCTCGCACATAGCACCCTGACATTCTTTGAAGTACAGAGATTCCTTGGTAAACCATGCGCTTGAACCCAATACACTGCCCTGTCTGCTACAATATCATCCAAGGAATGATAAAGTGGCCATAGCATGGTGGTGAATGTGTGGCCCTTCACAAACCATGGGTTCCCATCCACTAGACGCCGGGCAACCTTCTCGTCTTCTACTGTTATGGAATATACATTTGCCTTTGCTTTAACAACCTTTACAACCCTTATATTGTTCCAAGCAACTCGAAGAACCTCTTTGATTGTCGCTTGGGGTGGTTCATGGTCTGCAATTAGCAATCCAACCAAAGCAATACTGTTTTCAAGCTTCTCATCCAGATTCAATCTGTCCTCGAAACATATGGACAAACCATCTTCGACCTCTTCATTGGAAAAAGTGTCATATTCCTTCATCACACCAACTTGGGACCAACGTACCTCCTGTTGAAAGAGAAAATGGACACTACTAAGCTCGTTTGAGCTTACCACAAGCCATAACGGCCACTATCAAGGATTAACCTCACAATATCAAGGAGCTGACGTCAAAAGAATTCAAGGCTCACCAAAACCTCAAAAAATAATATGCAGTTGGGCCCTATGAAGCCCCATTCTTTATGGTCTGCAAAGCCAGCCAGCTAGCCTTAAGTTATGAAAGAAGAGAGGTTTGTGAAAGATTAAATCTGCAAGAAGCCATCCAACCCATTAACATCTGCAAGATTAAATCAAAACCATCACCCAAGAAAACTCATCAGACCCATTTGAATTTGCAGACGCCATAACATGAAAAATGGGTTTTTGCCAGGAAATTTTTGGGTCTGTGCTTTGTGGGTAGATTGAAAAGGACGGGTCTTTGAGATGTCTGAGTGAGTTGGGTTAAGAAAGTATCTTGTTGTGTATGTCAAATGGAGGAAAAAATCTAGTAAATTGTTGGAGATATTATCATGATTTTATGGGATAATTCTTATAGAAATTGTCTTTGATTTGCTTGAGACACAAGATAGCATATTTTTGGGAATGAATTGAACTTCATGTAATGCCAAATTTTTGGGAAGTTTTTTTTAAAACTTAATTAGTAATTGCTGTGGGGGTCTTTTTGTTACAACAGCTCTAGGTGGACTTGGGCCGCTGTAAAGAGAGAGTGACATTGCCCCTTTGCCTGGGTTCGAGGACTAGGCCCCAAGATATCCCGAAAGAATGCTGATTCTTAGGGAATATTATGGTCATCTTCAGTGGCTCCTTGCAGGTTTTGATGTATAACAGGTTCTTGAATGATTTTGCTCGATTTTGTTGTATTGGAAGTGCTTCTCTTGAAGTGGAGTAGTGCTGGAGGAGATGTTTGAAGAAGATGGAATTCCTGGCAGTGACATACAACAGTTGGTGGAAAACATACGGCAGCTGATGGAATGGTGTGAGATGGCTCCGGAAAGAGTTCATGTTGTACAGAGAATATACAAGCTTAGCATGAGAGCATGTTTCGATGAATTAAAATGGAAGAGCTTGGCATGAGAGGCTTGTGGTGTGGGAGCTAAGTCTCCATGAGTTTAGCAAGAGAGAGCGTTTGCTTGAGTGGAAATGGGATGCTGGATAAAAGACATTTTAGGGCTTGAAATGGTTTCTAGTTGCTGGGAGAAGAAGATGATAGTTTCTGGGTTAAGCTTGAGTGTTTTCCAGCGGTGAGACTATGGCTTGTTCTATGTTGGTTGGTTTCGGGATGGCTTGAGATAGTTTTTTGGATGATGTTTTATATCTTGGAGTGGTTTATAAAAGAAGAGAAGCATGATGGAGGAAGGCTTGGGTTTTGTGTGTTTAAGGATTTTGATACTTGAATGCTGTTGAAGCATGGTAAGGCTTGTTTCTGGGTTTGGAATGGCTAAGGCTAGGTGCTTTCCGGCAGCAATGGGAATATGCTTGCTCATGCCGGCTCCCCTCTGGTTTCTTGGTTAAGGCCTCCTTTTATAGGCGTTGGAGGAGCAGTCGTTGGTCTAAGGCTTTTAATAGGGATTGTTGAGACGGTGAGAGATGGGCTTTAATGCTGGTAGGTTAAGTGCTCGAGGAAAACGCGTGATAGCTT